TTGCTTCCGCTGCTGGCTGCTCCCACACGCATGCTCTTTGCTTTGCTTCCTCATCCAAACCCCCTCTCCCCTCCTCTTGCTCCTCCGCCTCTTCCCTTCCTTTCTCGTGCCCCGCCGCCTCTCCCCTCCCCTCCTTGTGCCCATGCACGTCCCCCCGCCTGTCCTCCTGCTGCACGGCGTCCCTCACAGCGCGCATGAACGCATCCTCCTCGCCCTCCACCACCCGCCCTGCCAGCGTGCTCCCACACACCACACGGCACGGCATGAGAACACCGGGGGAGGGCGAGGGGGGAGAGAAGAGATTGTACAACACAGGGGCACGCGGAAGAGGAAATAATGGGCAAGAGAGAGGCGGCGTCTCTCTCTGTGTGCAGGAGAGTAGCAGCATCGTCCTCCTCCCCAGGACCAGGTTCCAAGACTCAGGGAGGACTGGCAGATGGTAACCACTTTTAGATACTCGTGATTGAGTGAGCGGCAGTTCTATGGAACGTTTTGCAAGGGGAGAAATAAACAGTGAAGAAACGCTAGCTGATTCACGCATGCAGGTTCTAAGACAGAGCCAAACATGTTCCAGCTGCCGGAAATACCCTAACAGGTCAATGAGACACAACTGCGGAGAAAACACTTCTAGAGGAAGCTCTGGAGTTGATCTGTGGGTAAACTTCACTCAGTTCACCCCGAATAACAGTGACCAATCCAGCCAGACCTTTGCGGAAAAACCTGGAAGCCACGTCTTGAGCCCTCGAGGGTGTTTTTGGTCTCAGGGCCTGATCTGTTGTCTCACCGCAAACTCTAAAGTTGAGAAAAAGCACCAATGCTTCAATAAGCCACACCTTGTCCTTCAAGCACCAAAAATTCTGTCTAGAAGAGGAGCCTATTGTCCCCCCCCCTTTCCAGCTCAACTCCCACTATCTCTCCTGGTGCACACTATCTCTCCTGGTGCACACTATCTCTCCTGGTGCACACTATCTCTCCTGGTGCACACTATCTCTCCTGGTGCACACTATCTCTCCTGGTGCACACTATCTCTCCTGGTGCACACTATCTCTCCTGGTGCACACTATCTCTCCTGGTGCACACTATCTCTCCTGGTGCACACTATCTCTCCTGGTGCACACTATCTCTCCTGGTGCACACTATCTCCCCCTGCTGCCCTCGTCCCCTCGCCCACCGTGCCTGCGCGCGCGCAGCCCTCGCAGGCGCCGCAGCTCCCTCAGGCGCGCCAGCAGCACGAGGGCGTCCAGCTGGGGGCAGGTGCGCGGGCGGGTGCAGTGAGTGAGGGAGAAAGGGAGGGGAGAAAGGGAGGGGAGAAAGGGAGGGGAGAAAGGGAGGGGAGAAAGGGAGGGGAGAAAGGGAGGGGAGAAAGGGAGGGGAGAAAGGGAGGGGAGAAAGGGAGGGGAGAAAGGGAGGGGAGAAAGGGAAAGGGAGGGGAGAAAGGGAGGGGAGAAAGGGAGGGGAGAAAGGGAGGGGAGAAAGGGAGGGGAGAAAGGGAGGGGAGAAAGGGAGGGGACACGAAAGGGAGGGGAGAAAGGAGGGGAGAAAGGGAGGGGAGAAAGGGAGGGAGAAAGAGGAGAAAGGGAGGGGAGAAAGGGAGGGGAGAAAGGGAGGGGAGAAAGGGAGGGGAGAAAGGGAGGGGAGAAAGGGAGGGGAGAAAGGGAGGGGAGAAAGGGAGGGGAGAAAGGGAGGGGAGAAAGGGAGGGGAGAAAGGGAGGGAGAAAGGGAGGGGAGAAAGGGAGGGGAGAAAGGGAGGGGAGAAAGGGAGGGGAGAAAGGGAGGGGACGGAAGGAGGAAGTAAGGAGCGAGCGTGCAGCATGCCAGGCGCAGCTCCCTCAGGCGCGCCAGCAGCAGGAGCGCGTCCACCTGGGGGCAGTGCGGTCGGTGCATGGGGGTGCAGGGGGGGGGGGGACAAGAAAGGAGCATGGGAGGAGGGAGAGAGAGGGGAGCATGCAGCGCGCCAGCAGCAGGAGCGCGTCCACCTGACCTGAGAGCAGTGCGGCCAGTGCATGGAGGGGGGAAGAGGGGGGGGGCGGAGGGAGCGGGGAAGGCGGGAGAGAGGACTGGCGGGCGGCGCAGCTTCCGCAGGCGCGCCAGCAGCAGGAGCGCGTCCACCTGGGGGCAGTGCGCCCAGTGCACGGAAGGGGAGAGAGGGAAGGGGGAGGGAGTGAGGGGGAATCAAATGGGGAAGGAGAGGAGGGGGGAGGAGGGGCGGAGGGAGGAAGGGGAGAGCAGGCAATAGCCGCCCAGGTGAAAGCAGCAGAGCCCCAGGTGTGTTGCTCAGGCATGTTTGAGCACAGTCGTGAAGGATGGGCATGAGCATCACATGCCAACCATGTTCCACACCTGCACATGCACTTGGCAGCTGCATTACTCCCCTACAGGCATCACCGTCACCCATCTGCAGTGCCAGTGACACTGACACACCACCCATCTCCGCCCACCACACACCATGGTCGCCCCACATGGCATACAGCATTCACAGCTCCACCGCAATGCACCTGCTTGCACCGCACTGCACCTGCTTCTGCAGCTGGGCCCGCTCCCTCTTCTCCCTCGCCTCTTCCTCCGCCTGCTGCTGACGTGCCTGCCAGGGCGGGGCAGGGCAGGGCAGGGCAGGGCAGGGCAGGGCAGGGCAGGACGAGGGGGGAGGAGCGGGACTGTGGCATGGAGAGAAGATGGCAGCAGGGTGGTGGCAAATCTGATTGTATATATCAGCAGAGGGGAGAGCAGCAGCGGATTATGCAACCACTCTGATTTTAATTCCGATGTACTGATCGTTCCGATTATACATAGCCATCTGAGTCGTGGGGTTTGTTTCGTTCTCCTCAAATCACATACCGACTAAGTTGATGGAAGTGAGGCCTCAGCAGCCCAGTTTTGTGTGGTCCACAAGAACGGCAGCAGAGTGTCAGAAGCATACATGAAGAGCAAGTGCGGCACTCTGGCTCATACGACTTGTCCCCCCATGCCTGCGCATGCATGCACATGGTTTAGCAGCACTCACCATGCTCCACTCACCATGCTCCACTCACCATGCTCCATGCACCATGCGCCACTCACCATGCTCGCCTGCGCATCTCTCTCCATCACCCGCGCCCGCCACGCGTCTATCCTCGCCTCCACCACCCGCCGCTGCTGCTCCCTCTGCCCCTCCCACCCACGGCACCCCGCACGTCCACACGCACAGAGAGGGGTCACCCATCAGAAAGGTGGGGAGAGAGAAGGCGGGGAAGGGGGTGTTGGAAGAGAGAGGGATCGTGGGGAACGGGTAGGGTAGGGTAGGGAAGAAATAAGTGGGGAGGGCAGCAGAGAAGAAAGTGGGGAGCAGGGAGAGAAGCACGACTCCTTATCTTTATTGCCTCTGCCTGCTCCTCACCCACATACAAACCCACACATGCACACGCCACTGGTCAGAGAGAGAGAGGGGGGCAGAAACAGGCCCGCTTGAGAGAGGGGCAGAGGGCGGTGGAAGAAACAGGGGTAGGGCGTGGTGACCTGCCATTAGTAGGGTGGGACAGGAGCAAGTGAGTGGGGAGGCGGGGATGGGGGGAAGAAGCAAAGCTTTTTCACGTTCTCACCTGCTGCCATGCAATAGCTTGCTCTGCTCGCCTCTTCTCTCGCCATCGCTTCTTCCTCACCGCTCTGCCCCGTGCCCTCACCACTCGCAGTGCCTCCACTCGCTCCACCCACCCCACTGCTCCCTCCCCTGCCTCTTCGTCCCCAACCTCCGTGCCTCCTCCTCTCACGCACTCTATGTCTCGTCTTCCCTCTCCTCCTGCCCTTTCTCCCTCTCTTCCGTTACCACCCGCCCCCCTCATTCCCTCATCAACTTGGGTTTCCCCACTCTCCTCCCCCTGCAGGGCGAGCAGCACGCGGGAGAGGGGAGACATGAGGCGCTGCACCTGGCCGCCCACCTGCTCGCCTGCCCGCGCCCACACCGCCTCCTCTTCTGCCCACCCCGCTGCTGCCGTTCCTGCTGTTTCCCCTGCCGCCGCTGCTTCTGCTGCCCTCGCTGCTGCTGTGGGGCTGGGAACTGGCGGGGCGGTGCGCTGTGGTGCCCATGGTGCTGCTGCTGCTGCTGCTGCTGCTGCTGCTGCTGCTGCTGCTGCTGCTGCTGCAACACTGCTCGCCTGCTCATCGCCTGGCGCCGCTGCTGGCGCTGCTGCCGACAAGCACTGGCGCTCGTGGAGGCTGGTGGGGGCGAGGGGACCGGATTCGGCCGGCACAGGAGAATATCAAACAATGGGAGTGCGGGTGAGTGATAGGTGGCTCTGTGGCCGGAGACTGGGATTGGTATGGTGAAAATGAGTGTGTGATTCGTGAGAGAAGAGGGCGGCGGGGAATGAGGAAGAGCGGGGAGCAGGGCGGGGGGCGCAAGGAGGGGGGCGCACAGGGCGGAGAGCAGCTGCGATTGGCGCCACAGCGCCTCCACCGCTCGCCTCACCCCCTCCGCGCTCCTATACCCCGCGCCTTCCCTGTCGTCCCCCCACTCGCCCCTCACACTCGCACCCGTTGCGCCACTCCCCTTCCCCACGTCCCGTCCCTCCCGCTCGTTCCGCGCATTAGCACTCGTGAGCCCGCCCCCGCCAATGCAATCCCCCCATCCGCCACAGTCGCCCCCTCGCATCCGCCCTCCCACTCCGCCACCAGCGCAGTGCGCTGTACACGTGTGCTGCGCGCTGCAGCGCCGCGAGCGGGGCGGCGCACAAGACTGCGCGGCGCTGCTGCGCTGCCTCAGGGGCGACGTCGTTGGGACGAACGCGCGATGCTCGCAACGGCTACGATACGCCTTGCCGACACGCCTCGCTGCGGCGCGTGCAAAGTGGGCGAATGTCGTGCGCCTCGTTGCCGGAATTCAATGTAACCTCGACGAGGCTAAGAAACGAACGAATGGACGATCAGCAGCAAGCCTCCTGGCGGTAGATTCACGCAAAAGATCTAATGCTAAAGCTAAGCAGAAGCGGAGGTGGTGATGTCGTGAATTGAGCGAGTGATCGGCCTCAATGTGTGGAAACGCGTTTCGGCGAGCGATGGTCTTCATCACTGCGGGCGCACACTGCGCTCGACGCCGCCCACGGGTGGCGGCAGCGCGGCGAGATCACGTCCCTCAACTCAGCGTTTCCAAATGTGCAGTCCTGGTCTGTGTGGTGAGCGGCTGGTGCGTGGTGGATGTGCAACCCTAATCTGCGTCCGTCGCGCCAACTCCCCAGCAAACACTCGGTTCCAATTTTCTGGTTGGCGCCATACCGAACCGCCTCCGCGGCGTCTGCCGCAACGCGCCTATTGTCCAGCGTGGGGGAAGTGTGAATAGGTTTGCGCCGCCGCCTTCGTCACCAGCATGGCCGCAGCGCTCCGCGCAGGGCGAATCAGCGCCGCGGATTTCCCGCTCGCCGCGGCAAGACTCGCAGAGACGTGGAGCGCGGCGGAATACGCGCAGTCCATTGAAGAGGCGACTCGCTGCTCCTCCGGGGCGCCAGACGCGCGGCGGATTGGACGAGCGGGGAGCGCAGAAGCAGCGTGGGCAGCGGCGCAAAGTGGGGGGCCTGGTTCCGCGGCAGACGCGGTGGGCGAACGGCAGGGAGTGGAGGGCGCTCGCTGTGAGGTGCGCGCGGAGGGCGGGAGGCACGCGGGGGGCGAGGGGCGCGCGGAAGGCGAGATGCGCGGAGAGGGCGTGAAGTGGCAGTGGGTTGCGGCACGGGCGTCGTCGCTGGCAGTGGGAGGTGAGGGCGCAGTGGGAGGTGAGGGCGCAGTGGGAGGTGAGGGCGCAGTGGGAGGTGAGGGCGCAGTGGGAGGTGAGCGCGCGGTGAATGGGCGAATGGTGAAGTGGGGCGACGTGGATGCGGTGAGACGCACAGGTGCGTGCACGCCCACACCTCCCTGCTCCCTCGCTCCTACTACCCTTCCCCCTCCCCCGACACGCTCCCCTCGTTCTCCGCTCCCTGTCTTGCGTACCCTCTCCCAGCACCCCTCTGCTCATCATCCTCCCAACTCTCACCCCTCCCTGCCCCCTCTCACCACTCCGGCCCTCTCCCCAACCGACTCTCCCCCATTCGCAGTCACTCGCCTCCCTGTCACTCCATCTCCTCCCCACGCCCCTCCCATGTGACCACCCTCGCTCATATCCCTCCCTTCATCCTCTTTCACGCCTCTCTGCCATCGTTTCTGCCCGCCCCACCCTGTCATCTCATCCACCCTCCCTTTCTCCCCCCACCGCCCTGTGCCAGGCGGCTACCTCACCACGCTCCACCCGCTGCTGCTGCACCGCACACACACTCCCCACCACACCCACCACCACACCCACCACCACACCCACCACCACACCCACCACCACACCCACCACCACACCCAGCAGCACACCCAGCAACAGGGGTGCTGCTGCGATGGGCGCTGCTTGGATGAAGCGAGAAGCCACGACACGCCGCCTGGTGCTTGTACTGCTCACTGCCACCCACCTCTTCCTCTCACTCACCCAGTTGATTCCATTGACCCGGTTGACCCAGTTGACTGGGCTGATGCGGTTGACCTGAGTGGCGAGGAGGCGCACGACCCTGCCACTCTGCACTGCTGCCTGCACCCCCACCACCCCGCAGCGCTGCCAGGAGCAGGTGCAGCAGCAGCAGCAGCAGCAGCAGCAGCAGCAGCAGTAGGTGCAGAGGCGTCAACCCCACCGCAGTCACGGCTGCATGCAGCCTTGGCAGCAGCAGCACAGGCAGAGCAGCACACAGCAGGGCCAAGTGAGCCAGACTTGGTGCTGACAGGTGAAGGGGGGCTGCTCTGCCATGCTGCATGTGGAGCGCGGAGTGCGCAACAACCATGTGACGTGGCAGCAAGTGACGTGGCAGCAAGTGACGTGGCAGCAAGTGACACGGTGGCACTGGTGCATTGCCATGTGGTTTTTGATGCTGTCTTCTCTGTGCCACAACTGCTGCTCCTGCCATGCCGCCCAGGTGTGTGTGCACGCCATACCATACGCTGCAACACTCTGCCCCCTCTCCACCTGTCACCCATCTGCCCTACACATGCATCTTGATCGCACCTATGCCTACCTCTCCCCACATGCCCTTCTTCCCCACCCTTGCCCTGTCAAATCATCCCCCTGTCCACGGTCCAGCACCCTTCCAAAGCTTAACCCTCCATCCCACAACCCCCATTCCCAACCCCCAACAGACGGCCGCCCCCTGCCCTGGCAGGACCTCTTTGCCTTCCTGCCTCGCCTCCCCGACCACCCCTTGCTGCCATCACCCCTCCCCTCCGCCCCTCGTCCGCCCACCGCGCATCACCCCTCTCTTGACACCTGGCACCTGCTCACACCCCTGGTACGTCCCCGCCCAAAAACTCCATTGCTCTTGCTCTCACGACGGCTGCAAACGCCCCATGAACCATGTGGCTGTGGGCGGGACGTGAAGCTATGCTGCACTACATGCATTCCTAATCTTGGCCTTTGTTCACTTGCCATGGTTTGTTGAACGCACTGCATTGCTCGCTGCCCATCTTCAACGCTTCAACCTCCCGCGTGATCGCCCTCACTGCACTTCCATTGCACGCTCTCATGCACTGCCCGCCCCATGCCGCCCACCCTGTGCTGCCCTCCCTGTGCTAACAGGAGCATCCCTTCCTGGGTCGGCCATGCATGGCTCTTCACCCCTGCAATACTCCCGCTGCCATGGCGCTGCTGCTGCTCGCTGCTGCGACGGTTGATGCTGATGTTGCTGCTGCTAGGGGTGGTGCGGCTGCTGCAGCAAGCGCAGCAGATGGGGATGGGGCTACCAGTGAGCCGAGTGCAAGGGCAGCAACGGTCGGTGCACCTGCCGCCACCAGCACTGCAGCATCACATCACCATCACTCCCAGGCGCTCGAGCTCTACATGCTGAGCTGGCTCTCTCTGGTTGGCCGCATCGTTGGCATGCACATGCCACCGCGTCTGCTTGAGAGAATGGCCGCGCTGGCAGCAGCAGGCACAGGGTGACATCATCAGCAGTGCATTCTTTAGTCGACCCCAAAATCGACAGCACGAGCATGCAACACCCTGCCGGCACACACGTGAAGTGCACAGAAAGAGCCAAGGCCCAAGGAGCACCGTTCTGTGTACGGACAGATCATGATGTGAAGCAAGACAGGCCATGCACTGACGGGGCATGATGTGAGGCAACACATGCTGGTACCGCTGAGGCCAGGGACAAGCATGCAGAACAGTGTGAGCCCTGTCCGTGTGCAGAGAGAGCAGCAGTCGTAATCAATCACCATGCCGCCCAGGTGGTCTGCCTGTGATTTGGTCTTCACAACTGTTGCCAAGCTATTGATACATGTATACACGAATGTCTGCCTCACAAGCTTCATGTGGTGTAGTACAATACTGGATGTACCAAGTCATGCTTCTGCACAGGGTAATGTGCGGTATTGCTGGTCGGGCAGGCGGACGTGTGAGGCGGGGTGAGTGCATAGACTACTGGATCTGGATGAGAGTCGCAAGGGGCTTTCTCACAGCACCTAGTGACAGGGACAACGGCAGGTGGACTGTCCTGTCCTGCCCATGCAGTTCCCCAAAGAAGTAGCCGCCTGGATTATGCCACACAGGGATAGTGTACCCCTAACTTCAGAGTGTGCCCCTAGCTTCCATTCGTGTGATTAGTGTACTACTGTTTGTTCTATTATTTTGCGGGGTCCTTTCGTGTCGGGCGAATGAGACATTGTGAGAAGTCAGTCACCGTATTACGATTCACATTGGCCTCTCAACTCAAGCATCACGGACATATAATGCACCGTGGCACGCCATTCAGTCCCCAAATCACCTACCTACTCTCACGCTCAGCTCAGCACGAGCTGCCTTGCATCCTATCCGTCCCCGGCAGCAGCAGCAGCAGTTGTTGTTGTCCCATCCTCTGTGTGTGCTACATCTTCACATGCTCGCCCCTCACCTGCCAAACCCCCTCCTTCTGCCTTTGCATCGTCTGCATCCCCACCTGCCTCATCCCCACCTGCCTCATCCCCACCTGCCCCCTTGGCTGCACTGCCACCAGCAGCCTCGCCAGCATCTGCATCCTCCCCTCCCCCAACCTTGCCGTTTGTGCCAGCAGCGCCACCTGAAGCGCCTCCCTGTGTGGCGTCGCCTGGCAGCACCTCGTACTCGCCTGTTGCCTCGTTAAAGCGGTACCTACGGGTGGACCCATGGGGGGACAGGCATGTGATGTGAGCACCATGTGCACGCATGCACGGCTGATTGCTGCAATCCACATGCGGGGCTTGGGCTCACATGGGAATGGCATGGCAAGCACATGGCATGGCATGGCAAGCACATGGCATGGTATGGCAAGCACATGGCATGGCATGGCAAGCACATGGCATGGTATGGCAAGCACATGGCATGGCATGGCAAGCACATGGCATGGTATGGCAAGCACATGGCATGGCATGGCAAGCACATGGCATGGTATGGCAAGCACATGGCATGGCATGGCAAGCACATGGCATGGTATGGCAAGCACATGGCATGGCATGGCAAGCACATGGCATGGCATGGCAAGCACATGGCATGGTATGGCAAGCACATGGCATGGCATGGCAAGCACATGGCATGGTATGGCAAGCACATGGCATGGTATGGCAAGCACATGGCATGGCATGGCAAGCACATGGCATGGTATGGCAAGCACATGGCATGGCATGGCAAGCACATGGCATGGTATGGCAAGCACATGGCATGGTATGGCAAGCACATGGCATGGTATGGCAAGCACATGGCATGGTATGGCAAGCACATGGCATGGTATGGCAAGCACATGGCATGGTATGGCAAGCACATGGCATGGTATGGCAAGCACATGGCATGGCATGGCTGGCATTGAGTGCACATGCACATGGCATGTCGGCATTGCAGAGAGTGCAAACCAGACTCCGTGCTGTTGCTGTTCTCACATCCAAAACAGCATGCTAACAACAGGATGTCACCGCACTGCACTGCCCCACACCCAACCCTACTCTGCACCGGATTCAACCCTACCATGTGCCATTGGCAGCGCTGCAGAAGAGGCCAGAGGAGGAATCGTAGTAATAGCCCTGCTCCTTGTTAAAGTAATAGCTGGGAGGGGGGAGAGGGAGTGGAGTTGAGGTAGGGCGTTGAAGTTGAAGGAGAGGGAGGGAGAGGGGGGGGGGGGGGCGGGGGAGAAGGGTTTGCAGCATGGACACAAGAGGTGCGTTTTTCAAAGAGAAGGTGCTTGTATTGCAGATTGGCGATCGCCACAACGACGGGGAGGGCAGAGGAAGGGAGGGGGGTTGTGGCAGGAAAGCGGAGTCTGGGGTGTTGGCGAAGGAGTAGGATAGGGGGTTGGGGGGAAGCACTGTGGATGTGTGTGCGTGCGTGCGTGCGTGCGTGTGTGTGTGTGTGTGTGTGCGTGTGTGTGTGTGCGTGTGTGTGTGTGCGTGTGTGTGTGTGTGTGCGTGCGTGCGTGCGTGTGTGTGTGTGTGTGTGTGCGTGTGCGTGCGTGCGTGCGTGCGTGCGTGTGTGTGTGTGTGTGTGTGCGTGTGTGTGTGTGCGTGCGTGTGTGTGTGTGTGTGTGTGTGTGTGTGTGTGTGTGTGAGGAAGAGGGCAGGGAGGGAGGGGTGGGACGAGAGAATGGAGGAAGATTGGCATGACAAGCAGGGGATGGTGGAGAGTAACTGACACGCGGGTGTGAAAGTGCAGGGGAGAGAGGACGAGGGCGCAGTGATAGGCAGGGAGTGGGCGGTGGAGCGCAGGGCGGTGGAGCGCAGGGCAGTGGTGAAGAACGTGGGGGAGCATGCTTGCATGGGCGCAACAAGAGGGCCGGAGCACCTGAAGCACCCCGTGCTCTCACCCACTGCTCTCACCCAGTGGACGAAAAGCTTCTGTTAGAACAGGCACGCACTCACCCACTGCTCTCACCCAGTGGACGAAAAGCTTCTGTTAGAACAGGCACGCACTCACCCACTGCTCTCACACAGTGGACGAAAAGCTTCTGTTAGAGCAGGCACGCACTCACCCACTGGCCGGGTCAAACTCGTAGCCACTGCTGTTGCTCGGTGCTCCGCTCCCCTCACCCCCTGTTTTCCCCTCCCCTCCCCCCTTCTCCCCTCCTTGCCCTTCTGCCCCTCCCTTTGCCTCCTTGCTCTCACCTTCCTTCTCCCCCCCTTCCCCTTTACCATCGCCCGCTTTATCATCCCCCCCCTCGTCATCATCCTCATCCCCAAACATGTCCATCCCCGCACCTCCCGTCTTCCCAATCCCTCCCTCCTCCCCCCCTTTACCCCCCTCGCCCTTGCCCCCCTCTTCCGCGTCCCCCCCCAGCAGCCCCTGGCGGGCGCGCAGGATGGCCTCGTACCCCGCGGCCTCGCGCTCAAACGTCTCCTTCTTGTCCGAATACACCTCTGCACGCACAGCAACACCATGCCATGCCATGCCGCACGGGGTGGAGACGAGGGGCAGCAAGCAGCACACGTGTGATCACTACGGCCATGCTCTCGGCTCTTCAAGGTCGTACCCCGCGGCCTCGCGCTCACACGTCTCCTTCTTGTCCGAGTACCCCTCTGCACGCATGCACGCAAGCACCGCGGCGCATGGGGAGGAGGAAAGGGGTGAAGGGGAACGAATGGAATGCTCTCTCGTTGCCTTGGTGTGCGTCTAGCATCCTTCAAAGTCAAGGTCACCCGCGCTCGCATGTCTGTCGGGCATGCAGCATGCATGATGGCGTGTGTGGCATGCGAGGCAGGAGCAGAGGCATGCAGAAGCATGTACGATCCACTGCACCCAGAACAACGGTCGTCCTCCGACCGACTCAACTCCTTCACAAGATGAAGCTCCCAGTGCCTATGCTCTACTCTACACAAGCAGTCACCCATCCACCGTTTCTGTCTCACTGTACCAGTCTCAGCATACCTATCCCGCCGTACCTGTCTCACCGTACCTGTCTCACAGTACCTGTCTCGCCGTACCTGTCTCACAGTACCTGTCTCGCCGTACCTGTCTCGCCGTACATATTCCACAGTTCCTGCCTCGCCGTGCCGTACCTATCCCACCGCACCTATCCTGCTGTACCTGTCTCACAGTACCTGTCTCGCCGTACCTATTCGACTGTATATGTCTTGCCGTACCTATCCCACCGTACCTTCCCCACCGTACCTATCCCACCGTACCTATCCCACCGTACCTATCCCACCATACCTATCCCACCGTACCTATCCCACCGCACCTATCCCACCGCACCTATCCCACCGCACCTATCCCACCGCACCTATCCCACCGCACCTATCCCACCGCACCTATCCCACCGCACCTATCCCACCGCACCTATCCCACCGTACCTATCCCACCGCACCTATCCCACCGTACCTATCCCACCGTACCTATCCCACCGCACCTGTCTTGCCGTACCTATCTCACCGCACCTGTCTCGCCAGCATCCATGAGCAGCATGGCATCTTCAGTCAACTGCTCGAACAGCCGCTGCCTTTCCTCCTCATCCATGCCGCCCTCCTCCCCCTCCCCCCCTCCCGCCTCCTCCATCCACCGAGGTCTATTCTGCTGCCTACCCCCCTTCCCCCTCCCCTCCCCGCCCTCCTCCCCGTCCCCTTCAACCCCCGAACGACCTCTCTTCTTCCCCCCTTTCCTCCCCTTCACGCCCCCTGCTCCTCCCTGCCCTGCGCCCTTCTTCCCTCGCCCCAGGCGCTTGAGCCCTTGAATCACCTGCACACGTGGCCGGGGGATGGAAGGGGGGGAGGGGGGAGGGGCGGGGGGGGGAGGGGGGTTGGGTGGAAGTGGAAAGGGGGCCTTTTGTGGGCAGGGGTGGAGAAGGGGAAGATTTGCAACAGAAGATGGAAGATTGGGATGATTTGACAGCACGTGTAGCAAGGGGGACCGTTGAGACCAGGTGCACCGTGCACGAAGGCAGGCAGGTATGCAAAGTGGTGCGAGGTGGTGGGTGAGGGCGTGCCAACCACTTCACTGCCATCCATCACTCTCGGAGGTCCCTTTGCCAGGCAAAGTTTGCCTTGCAGTGCTGCCTGGCGGAAGTTTTCCCCTGCCATGTTACACCGCACTGCATGGCGCTCAGCCGCACTGCATGGCGCTCAGCCTCACTGCATGGCGCTCAGCCTCACTGCCCTCATCATCTCATGCCCCGCCCAGCAGTCACACCATCCTCCCAGCCCCCTCACCCGCATCTCCCCTCCCATCCACACTCACTCACCGTCTCCCCTGGCCTGAGAGCATCAGCGATGCGCCGCCTGATGGCCGCCATCTCGCCGTGCCCCATCTCGCTGCCCCCCGCCTCCTCCGCTGCCGCCGCTGCCTGTGCGCGCGCTGCTGCCTTGGCCGCTAGAGTGGGGTCTACCTCTGCCGTCGCCAGCCATGCATCCTGTGCGGGGGAAGAGGAAAGGGGGAAGATGCGGGGGGGGGGCGGGGAGAGGAAGGGAAGGGTTGAGACGGCGGGGTGGAAGAGAGGAGGTGAGAACGTGGAGCGGTCACACCGCTGCCTTGGCTGCTCTGCTAGAGGGGGGTCCACCTCCGCTGTCGCCAGCCATGCGTCCTGTGCGGGGGGGGGAAAGGGGGGGGGGAAGGGGAGAGGATGGGGTATGGAGAGAGGGAAAAAGGAGGCGGAGAAGAGGGAGGGGGGAGGCATGCATGAGAGAGCCTTCCTAACAGACACAAGACTATCCAAAGCACAGCGGGAGAGAGAAGTTAGAGCGAAGGGGTATAGCGTGAGTCTAAAATTAAAGCATCCGAGCCGCATCTCTTGGTACCAACACCTCTTCCTCACCGTGCCCTCACTGCCTTCGCCCTGCTTTTCTCCGCACCCACACGCCCCCTCCCTGCGCCTCTCAGCCCTCCCTGCACTCACCGTGGCCTCTCTTCCCTCCCTGCACTCACCGTGGCCTCGGTGTCCTCTCTGTATTCCACATAGTTGCCCTCGGCATCAAAGTACCCCTCCTCGCGCTCCTGCTGAAGGTTGAATGGCTCCATCGCCTCCTGCTCCTCCTCCTCTCCCTGCCACCATGCACCCACGGCACGGCACGGCACAGCACAGCAGGGCATGCAGGGCAGAGGAGGGAATGCATGTGAGGGTCAACCAGGCTGTGCACTCTCCCTCCTCGCGCTCGGTTGAATGGCTCCATCGCCTCCTCCTCTTCCTCCTTTCCCTGCCAGTATGCCGTGGTGGCCCCACGCGCCCATGCCATCACACCGGCCAGCACACAGCACGGCACGGCACAGCACGCCACAGCACAGAATCGCACAGCAGAGCACACAGAGCAGAGAGAGCAGAGGCAAGAATGGATGTGAGCGAAGCAGCTAGTGCACTGCGGATCCCCCCACACAACCGCACTGCCTGCACTGCACGCTTTGCCATTTCTGAAATACGCCCACCCGCACCCAACCCGACCGGCCCTACCATGTGCCTCACCACACTCAACACTCATCTGCTTCACTCACGTCCCCCTCCCCAGTCCCCCCCATCACCCTCCCCCCCAACGCCCTCCCCCCCTTCCCCTCGCCCCCTTCCCCTTCCCCCCTTCCCCGCGCCGCGCACCTGGAAGTCCTCTTCAGCGCGCGCCACGTCCTCCACGCCCCCGAACGCAGTGTCCCCCCACTTGCTCTTCCCCTTCTTCCGCTGCTGCGCGCGCGCCTGCGCCGCCACGCGCGGATCCGCGGAGCCCATCAGCGCCGCCGCGCCGGGCTCCGCGCCGAGGTCGTCGAGGTCCATCGCGCTGATGTCAGCGGCGGCGGGCGCGCCTTTTGCCTTCTTCGGCTTCTTTTCCGGCAGCACCGCGCGCCGTGGCCTGCGCGCGCGCGGGGGGGGTGGGGGGGGGGGGGAGGGGGGAGGAACGGGGGATGGGGGGAAGCGGGAGAGGGGACGGGGAAGAATGGCTGGGCGCGGAGAACGGACTTGAGGACAACGAGGGGCGCGCGGCGATTGCGTCGCTGGCGAACGGAAGTGTCGCATGGACGAGAGCGACGAAGAATCTGGCAAACGCGCGAGGAGGGAGGAGAGGACGGGGGAAATCGCGCACTTGGCGTCGTCATCGTCACCGTCGTCATCGTTCCCCGAGAATCGCACTATCTTCTTCCGCTGCGCCTCCTTGCGCTCGTCGCCCTTGCCCGTCCCCGCCGCCATCTGCTCCATCTCGCTCTCTCCCGACATTGTCATATTCGATAAGTGCACGTCTCAGCCACGAGAGCCCCTTCGTTTCAGTTCGCGCGTATCCTTGTCAGGCCATCAAGACTCGTCTTGCCTAACATCGGGTATGTCTGCGTGGTTACAAATACAGGGTTGGAAATACAGGTCTGCGTGGTTGGAAATACAGGGCGCGTCCATCTCGTCACACATCAGGTCAATTCTAGTCACTAACAATTATGTTACGGTATTAGTTTTACTAAACAGAGTGCGCGGAAGACTTCTATAAAGAGAACGTGATTACAGAATAAGGAAACAATGAAGGAAACAAGAATATATAGGGCGAAACTAGCTAGGCGAGAACCTCTAGGCGTGCGTGGCTCGGAAATGTCGCGATTGGTGCGGGGCGACTCGGAATTGGTTCGGTGCGAAAGTGTAGGCCGAGCCATCCTGACGCGAAGTGCTCGGGGCTGTCCTCGCTAGGAGCAGCCTGTACAGTAATGAACGTACATTCATTACACTCTCCCACCTTCTAAATAAGGTGCCCTTTTACGTAGCCGAGTCTTGCAGTAGCGTGAAAACTGCCGATCTCGGTTGAATCTGATCCGCCGGTGTAGAAGCCCGTTGACTTTCGAGCTGACGCGAGGCTGACCAAAAGACCAAGCGAATTTTGAAAAGTTGGAATGTCAGCTGTCGATGTTGGTCGTGCGGTGGTGACACTGGCGATGTTGGCGAAAGGACACGCTGTCAGATGTCAGTGAGTCGGGAGCCGTGGATCAGGCCTCTGGTTAACAGGGTGAATCACCCTTATGACACTTACTATAAGGCTGGTTTTTATTATGCACCCTTTTCTTTCAGAGTGGTTCATTTCTAGACCCTTACAAAAAAAAAAGTGTTTCGTTCTAGGACACTGATATTTCAGAGTTAAGAGGTGTAGACACACTGACGAAACTGAGTTCGCTCTAACAGGGATGTGTCAGAATCTAGCAGCAGGAATGATTGAACTAGCAGGATGCAGGAGTACAAGTAGTAAACCCTAATTGGGTTGTACCCCATATGGGCTACCCCACTACAGCCTAGACAATATGCAACACATATAGTTTGACACACCCCCATAAACAAAGTGGGGGAGAACAAGGGGTCACACGACCAGTCAAGAGAAACAAAACAAGCTCAGGGTGGATCACAACGTCACCACACATTCTGAGCACAAGCAAAGGGCCACAAGGCCAATTCACATGCAGCAATAACAGTACAGTGATGGCTACCTAGCAAGAACCAGCATGCAAGTATATATATAGATCACAGTACAAGCAGAGACTACAGCAAGTGTGGAAACGTAGGCACAAGGCCCAACAGAGTACAAAAGCGCTGATGATCACCAGACGGAAGTGCCTTGGTGAATATATCAACAGTGTTGGCCCGAGTGGCCACGTGGCGAAGACGAAGCTGGCCTCGCTGCTGCAACTCTCGAGCCAGGAAGTAACGCAGAGCAATGTGCTTCGTTCTGTGCTCCAGTCTGTGCTCCTCACACAAGGCAATGGCCGCCTTGTTGTCAACGTACAGCACTGGAGGAGAACGAGGCCGCTCACCCAAGTCAGTCAGCAGGTAGGTGAGCCAGCGTAGCTCCTGTGCAGCCATGGCGGTGGCGTAGATCTCAGCCTCACAACTGGAGCTGAGAACAGAAGACGAGCGTGTAGACCGCCAAGAAACAGAGCCAGAGCCAAGGCTGAAGGTGTAACCCTGTGACGACCGCTGAGTAGTCTGGTCGTCAACCCAAGACGCGTCTGAGTGCCCAGTGAGGACCACCTCACTCCGTCCTCCAAGCACGAGCCCCATGCCCGATGTACTGCACAAGTAGCGCAGTACCCTCTTAGCAGCAGCCATGTGCTCTGGTCGGTGCCTACCAGGAGCCACGTAGCGAGCGAGAAGGCCAAGAGGGTACGCAAGGTCAGGACGAGTGCAGGTCATCAGGTACATGAGGCAGCCCACTAGCTCTGGGTAAGGACCACTCGGCTCTACGGACTCGTCCGAAGGTGGAGCTGAGAGCGAGTGACCTGTAGCCAGAGGAGTGTGCTGTGGCGAGGACCAGGTGAAGCCGAAGCGCTGAAGGACCTGCTGCACCATGTGTGACTGAGTCAGTGTGATGGTGCGGCGTGCTCTGTCCCGAGTGATCTGCAAGCCAAGGTAACTGCGCAGCTCACCCAGGTCTGTGCACGTGTGTCTCTTCTGCAGCTCCGACTTCACCAAGGCGAGAGCCTCAGTGTTAGCAGTGGCAAAGACCAAGTCGTCGACGTACACGAGGATGTAGAACGGTGGCAGCGAAGTGTCGGTGCGCAGGAACAGCGACGGGTCAGCTGTCGAAGGAGCGAACCCAAGAGCCGCCAGTGTCGTCCTCAGTGTATCGTGCCACTCACGTGGCGCCTGGCGGAGACCGTAGACTGGCCGCCGGAGGCTCCACTGGGTACCAGGAGGGAACGACCCAGTGAAGCCAGGTGGGCGGCGCAGCCAGATCTTCTCGTGCAGGCTGCCCTGTAAGAAAGCTGTGCTGAAGTCAAGAGAGTGAAGCTCATAGTCACGCTGAGCGGCAACGTGCAGCAGCACCCGAAGAGTAGTCATCTTCGGGGTGGGGGAGAAGGTCTGGAAGAAGTCAACTCCCTCCCGCTGACTGAAGCCTCTAGCAACGTAACGAGCCTTGAAGACAGGCGGAGAACCCGGCGGCCGCTTCACCCTGAAAATCCACATGCCATCGACGATGTTCGCCCCAGGAGGGGGAACCTCATCGACGTAAGTGCCTGTGGACTTCCAGGATGCCATCTCTGCGTCCATGGCTGTCTGCCACTGAGAGGAGTACTCACCCGCGATCGCCTCAGCGTAAGAGCGCCGGGTCGGGATGTCTGGTGCATCCGGGTCTCCCTCAGGGGCAAGCAGCATGGCCACGAGATGAGGCGCAGCAGCCGCAAGACACTCAAGGTCCTCGTGTCTGTCCTCAAGGACTTCCGTGCTAAGAGCACACTCATCCCCGACGGACGGAGGACAGACGGACTCAGACTCAGCAACAAGACTGGCAGCGAAGTCTAGACGACAAGCAGCAGCAAAGTCAACAAGCTCAGCGACAAGAGCAGATGCAGCAGCAGACTCAAACGACGGGTCAGTGACAACAGTGGCTAGCAGACGCGTGACAGTAGGGTGCTCAGCACGAAACTGGTCAGACGCAGGGTCCGGAACGTCAGGCAAAGAGGACGCAGGAAGAGACGGCAGAGGAACAGGCCGCGGAGCAGAGGAAGGACGACGGACTACGAGGTAACCGCGCGGGGGACAGCCGGCTGACGCGAACGAGGAACACGACGACCGGTACGACCAGGACGAACAGGCGAGACAGGACGCGACGCAGACTCACGACGCTCAGCAGGACTACCAGTCTGCTCAGTGTAAGGAGAAGGAGCAGGAAGCGGTGAGCCAGGCTGTAACGGAAGACCAGTAGACGACGGGAGAGTAAGAACCTGACGAAGAACAGAGGCAGACGGCGGTAGAGACGACGGAGACGGCGGAGCGAAGAACAGTCGTGTCGGCGCAGCTGCACCAGTACCGGCAGCTCCAGTAGCTCCAGTACCTCCAGCAGCTCCAGCACCCCCAGCAGCTCGAGATGCTCCAGTCCCTGAACCGACACCTCCAGTCCGAGGGTCTCCAGCCTCAGTGTCTCCAGCAGTAGCACCCCCAGAACCAGCACCTCCAGTCTGAGCAGCTCCAGTACCTCCAGTACGAGCACCTTCGGAGCCAGCGACTCCAGCACCTCCAGTAGACAAAGGACCAGCACCACTCCTAGCTCCAGGGACGTCAGCAGAAGTACCTCCAGCAGCAGAGCCCCGGGCTCCAGCAGCGCGACCCTGACGGCGACCGTACCAGTCCTGCAGCTGCTGTGGGGTGAGAGGCACACGTGGACGAAGGCGGCTACTCCAAGGAGACCGCGCAACAGCAGACTCAGAACCCTCAGCGCCCGCACCCCCAACTGCTCCAGAACCTCCGGTGTCAGCACCCTCAGCGCCAGTAGCTCCAACGGCTCCAGAACCTCCAGCGCGAGCACCCTCAGCAGCTCCAGAACCTCCAGCTCCAGCGCCACCAGTACCAGGCCCTCCAGCAGCTCCCGAACCTCCAGCGCCAGCACCCTCAGTAGCTCCAGAACCTCCAGCGTCAGTACCGCCAAGCTCAGCACCCCCAGACCCCTCACATTCAGGCTCAGCACCACCAGGCTTTACACTCTCAAGCTCCGCACCCCCAGGCTCAGTACCCTCAGGCTCAGCACCCCCAGGCTCCGCATTCCCAGAAGTAGCACCCCCTTACTGCGCAAGGGGAAGACCGTGGTGTAGCGCGTGTAGTCGTCGACGACCAGCAGGAAGTACCGCTCGTGGCCCTGTCCACGGACGCGGGCTGGGCCCCACACGTCCAGGTGGAGAGTCTGCAGGGGAGCCTCTGTGGGAGGGAACGAGGAGGAGTGAGGAGCGGCGCGCTGCCACCCCTCGACACAAGGAATGCAGGGCGGCGCAGGCGAGGGAGGGAGGGCAGGCAGAGACCTAGGAAGACCAGAGACCAGGGAGCGAGAGTGCATGCTACGAAGGCGAGGCAGGGAGGGGTGACCAAGGCGGTGGTGCCACAGGAGAGTGTCGTGCGACAAAGCGCGACACTCGCAGGGGGCCGCCAGCTGACCAGACGTAGACGCAGACGCAGCTACCTGAGGGGACTCAGTGGTCAGTGTGTACAGACTCGAGCCAGGTGCACGGGTGAACGTGGCCAAGTGCCGGCCCGTCCGAGCACACGTACAGTGAGTCACTCGCTGACTCGCAGGAGTGAACTGGTCAACCCCCCGATCCTGGAGGTCAGCTCCACTCACCAAGTTCGTAGAGAACGAGGGGAGGTAGAGACCTGACAGCGAGCCGGACGGGGCGGCCGGACACGGCAGAACCGTGGAGTAGTGGGCAAGGACGGGACCCCCGGAGGGTGTTAAACTGTTGCAATGACACATTCTTGCATAGTCC